TGCTTTAGATGAATTCATGTTATAAAGTTTTATCTGTGTGGCGTAATTGAGAGTTTTTCCTTTTATTTTGAAATGAAGGAACATGACGTTTAATCTTGGAGTTTGATCCTGCATTGATTTATTTCATTGATTTATTTCATTGATTTATTTCATTGATTTATTTCATTCTATCACTGATTGATTCTTGTCGTCGGTTGAAGAGAAAACAACTGAACACAAAGTTAAAAAAAAGTCATTTGATTATTAAGAAAGTTTTAATCAAAAGCAATTTCCTGCCTGACGTGTTTGAGAGAGAGGAAACTCAATTTTAACACAACCAGCTCTAATCAATGTGACACCCTCTGATCCTCCTTCCTGTCCGGCTAATTGAGAAACTGTGTTAATGACTGAACCTGTGCAGCCAATCACAAGCCGGCGCTGAGCTGTCTCCGGGTAGAGCAGAGGCCCGAGCTGCTGGCTGGATGAGCTCTAGTAGTGATTCCTGAGCAGAGGAACGAGCTGCTCCATATGGCAGAGCTGTGGGACTCCTTTGTGTCGTGATTGATGTGACTCACGTTCACTTTAAAGGTTTCCTCCTTCACTTTAAACCCCCTCCCCCCACACTCCTCCTCTCTCCTCCGGCCTCCCCCGCTGCAGCAGCTGATCTGCAGGGTGGATGGGGAGTCAGCTCCACGTTGATCTGGCCAAGTGTGCCTTTCGTTTTGTATACAACAACCCCCCCCCCCCCCCCCCCCCCCCCCCCCCCCCCCCCCCCCCCCCCCCCCTCACCCCTGCAGCCTGCAGCCTGCACACTCACAGCTCCAGACTTTGTTTTTGGTGAAAGGGGCCGTCTCAAATGTCCTATGCAGCCGCAGCAGCTGCTCCTGGACCTCGCCATTCTTCTGCACAAAGGAGCAGAGAGGGCCGGGGTCTCCGTGCACCTTTGTGCGGGCCCCTCCTCTGGTTCTTCTGCTCTTTGTGCCCATTGATGAGGGTGTAGAAGTGTTGGCTGTTGCTTTTGTCTGGGTTCTGTTCTTGGTGAGGGTGATCAGGGGGTGGGGGGGGCCATCTGATCTGTTTCTACAGCGCACATGTCGATTGTTGTGATTTTGTTTGGCGACTAAAACAACAATTATCTGCGTTAAAAACTCACGAAAGGTCCTGAAAGATGATATAAATGATATATATGTTATATATGCATATATATATATGAATCTTCAACCTGTTGTTGAAAGCTCCAGTAAAAAGCTTGTGAATGAACCTTACATTATGTGTTTTATTTATTTTTCTTCTGTCAAGCCGCAGGTTTCAAGAACAACTTTTATGATTAAGATTTTAATTTTTCTAGTGTGGATATCTGAAACACAACACACACACTCAGGGTTGTTGTAGTGTCTGAACGAGGCCCTTGAGGGCCCCAACTCTGAATGGAGAGGCAGTCCGGTGTTTTGGCAACAGCTGGCAATGTGTCTGTGTGTGTGTGTGTGTGTGTGTGTGTGTGTGTGTGTGTGTGTGTG